TGCTGTCGCTTCATTAAACGGAAGAAAAGTTTATTGTCATTTAATAATATTTGTACCATTTTGTGAGGCGAACGTGATTCGGTCACCGCTGCGGGCTGCAAACCGTTCGGTTCATGTGGTCATTTGATTCACAATATGGCTGGAAACATGGGAAATGAGGAACGCGTTTAACATTTCTAATTTCCCATGAACTGCTGGGATAGTTGGCTGGTTGCTGCCTTGTCCTGCTCTGCTACATGGAAAAGGGTAGGTTAGTGTGTATACACGCTACAAATCATGAGAAGTGAACAACTCGAGAGGACGCTTGCTCTGGGCGCAATAAAGTATGAGTCACATAATGGTCATAAAATATTCATAAATTATGAAACTTTCACCGAACAGGGTAACTTACATAATTTCTACACCGGATAAGTCTGCTCCTCGTGGTCTAAGCAGTTTGGTGAAATTAGCAGTGTTGGAGGGGTCCACCGTGTAGATGAGTTGTTAAATGTTGACTTTTGGAGTTATCAATAGCTTTCCATGGCGGCGGAGCTTCAACAAGGAAATAAAGGATGTTGTCAGGAATTTTACCTGTAACCAGGATGGAAATCTTTCACATTGGCCCTATGCACCACTAGGAGTGTGCAGGATATATGAGTGAGAGTTTCAATGCCATCCAATGCATGAATTTGTATATTGTGTGGCAAGCACAATGGTACTCTTTGTCCAGGAACTACAACATTTTCAACTTGGAAGGTTTTAAATAGAACCTGGCATGAAGCAAAAATTAAACTTATTAGGAAGTAATGTTAATGATATAAAATTATTGTGCGAGTAGAATCGGATGTTGGAAAATATGTGCGGAATTATGGTCATTCATGTCGGTTTGTCGGTGGTTATTGTGGTTTATGACCAATGATGTCTACTATAAACAGGCGGGATAAGCTATTATTAGGTTGGGTAGGTGTGATGAGTTAAATTTTCATTAATGTTGAAATATCATTAGAGAGAATTAGGTGCCGCTTTTATAAAAGTAGACTACAACCCATGCAACATTTTTCGTAGGCTTCAAGGCTACTATAAAACAACATTCATAAAACTCTGGTCAAGACAGCTTAGCCTTTATTATATCCACCAAAACCTTATTATGACTAGAATCTGTCTAATTGGCCCACCCTGTATATGTTGTTTGAATGGTATATTCTCAACGCACATCAAGATTGATTTTGTTTTATCTAGTTCGTTTATTTGGAAGGCTCAATCACCTTTGCTTTACGGAGCCATTGTTCTTTGTTAGTAACACAATTCACTTAATTCTATGTCAAGTAGGCTTACCCGCGGCTAGAGGGGTATATTGTCGAAGGATAGGATCAGAGGAGGAGTTTGGGGATGGGGTTTCGTTGTCTCATCAGAGCGTTGTCACCAGTATGAACGGTAGTGTGGCTCAAGATTCGTCTGAAGTTCGACCAGCTATGGTGACCAGTAGGCGACGATGAGACTCACATGTCTCTGATAGGAACATAGGGTAGTCTTCCTTGGGTCTCGAGGGTATTCGAAAGTTTCACTCTGGTGGCGTTATTATCCGTGTAAATTGTACATTGCCAAACTACGTGATCGATGTCATCGTAACCGTTTCAGCACCGACAGATGTTGCTGTCCACGAGGTTTATTGTATGGAGATGCGCATCTAGAGAGCAGTGGTTGGACATAAGTCTACTCATCACGCGAATGAAGTCACGACTTAAGCTCAAACCTTTAAACCACGCTCTTGAAGAAAAATCGGGAATAATTGAATGTAAGCACCGTCCCAGTGTCCCAATCGGTTTGCCAACTCGAAAGGGAAGATTGATTGGTTTTAAAATGGTGTTACCGGCGGGTAACATCTTCTTCTTCTTCTTCTTATACGCATTTCAAGCTTATTGTTTAGCGCATATTAGCTTATTGTGTGATCTCAACTGAGTGTTCTGAATGCAGTTCCACAATTATTATTTTCCTTCTTCGCCACGACTAGTCATTGTTGCTTGTTAGGTAGAAGAGTGGACCACCCAACCTGCTACCACCTTCCTACTGCTGCTATTGCTGCTTCTGTTGCCTGCTCACCATGCCGTCCGAAGCGAAAATGAGTTGAGGCTAGACAGCAGCGTTCTTTTATATCTTTTCAGGTTAAAGCAGAATTATGTGCAACCAAGTGGTACTCGATTATGACGACTGGGTTTGGGAAGAACGTTTATTTCATGAAAACAGTGATTACATTGTCACTTTTCATTTGTACAGTGGACAATGCTTGCCATTACCACTTTATCAATAGTTTCTTGTTGAAATCAGTAGTCGGAATCTTTGCGTTTGATGCTTAGAATGTTTTTGGATCGATTGGTGATAAAATTATTGAAATTGGTCCAGGGGTAGCTGAGTTATTAATGTTCAAAATCTTTCATAATTTTGTTTCATGTACCATTTTCGGTTTCACAAAATGTACCTCCATATAGAAATCACAGACGTAGTCCTACGTCAAAAATCTATTGTCACGATTATAGCACCAAGTCTCACAATCGATCCACCCCTGGATTTCAGCATCACACGAATCGAGGTGGACATTTGAAAGGGGAATGTCAGCGAAAGCATAATGCGCATAACTTGCTCCACTCGTTTAATCTCCCATCTGGGTGTGTGTGTTTCAAACGATTGCCATTACTTGTTTCTGGTTTTCCCAAGTTGCCTCTTTTTTTGTTTTCACCCAACCACTCTGCAGGATATTAATATTTCAACCCGTCCGCCATCCCAGAGCCTGCCGTAAGCGGAAAAGAATGACCGAATCGTTAATATTCTTAATCACATTGGACCCGTGTTCGACAGCTCCGAGGAAATTCGAGCACCGTAATCATTAAAACCGTCTTGGACTGCAAAGCGGGTCTTTCTCACGACAAAGGAAACCATAGGAATGGGATACTGAAGTAGGTGGCTCGAAAAGTCGTAAAACCAGAATTGAGGCAGGGAAAACACAAAGGGAATTATCGCTAATCCTGTTTCATGAAACAACAATAATCTTCCGGTGGAAAAGTTGATTAGAATTTGCATTTCGCACCTTTTTGCCTGATCCTGGCGAATAACAATTTTTGGAATAATTTGCTTCGTTGGAATTAGTTTTGGGCATCCGAATTTCGCTAGCGAAAATTGGATACCAGCCGATCCAAGCGATCCAAGTAATGTCTCCCTGCCAGTTTTTCCAGCAAAAGAGTCAAGATGCAGGTTGGTTCATGTTCAGCAGAAATTGCATCAGCACCTGACTTACTGCATGAGCCATATGGCCTGAGGCCGACATAGACAGGCATAAATTATTCAAAGGGCAAAGGGGGAGAAAATTGAAAAGATAAGCTGATAAAATTAATTGAACACAGGCTTTGTGGCAAGTTAAATCTAAATTGAAAATTTTGCCGAACCCGAGCTTCGCCTGGAACTGGTATGTCAGCACTGTTGCTACTACTTTTGCAAGTAGTTTATCATACGTACAGCAATATCAGCAGTAGTGCCGTGTCTTTTGCAGGTAAAAGTTGAACCAGATGAGTTTAGCATGTTCAGGTTGCACGACAGAAGGTATGTATCTCTTAATTGCTTTGACTGATTTTGGAAATGTTATTCGTTTCAGCTTCCGGCAAATTCGATACGGGAGAAAATGAACTTTGGGTTGGTTGTGTACAAAAAATACGACTAAAGATAATACAGGTGAACGACTGTTCTCTTTGGTGCAAACATCCTAAACACTGGTTTACAATAAAAAAAAATCTTACTGGGGGAGGTTGGGAATGGGAAGAATAAGAATCACCCGAGTTTTGTTATACAGTCAACTCCCTTTTACTCGATATTCTGTAGTTTTTTTTTTTCTAGATTGAATGTCCATTTAATTTGCAAGCAATGCTTTCCCTAACTTGATACCAATTTTCTAGTGATGTACCGAATATTCGGAAGTTATAGTATTTGTCCGAATAATCAACCTCACGAAGCCTCAACATTTTGCTCAAAACCCTTGTCGGTCACTTTTTAGCTGGGATATGGCCGAATATCAATTAATTATTCGGTGCATTGCTATCCTTTATCACTACCTATTGAAAATAGAAGCTTCGAAGATACGGGCACCGATTCTTCTAGCGGGACTAACTAAAATCCATAGTTTTGTACTGTTGCCCAACGCTGTAGAGCTGTTAAATTTACTAAAATCTTATAAATAATAAGTTAAATAATTATAATTTAAATAACTTCTATCTTCAGTGATATTATTCATAGCGAATTAGTAACGTAATTAGTTACTTATTTACTACGCCCATGCTTTCGCTTCTAATTACCATATCACTTCTCTGTAGGTTGTAATCAAAGCAAAAGCACGGTATCTCCTTACCTATAAACAAAAAGCATTCACTATAGACTAAAGTGCACTCAGACTCATGCGATGTTCTTGGTGAGGGGTGAGTCGATGCGTTTTCGCGCAACACTACCCAAGCAACATTTATGGTTTTCTTATGGTCTTCAAGTCACTTCTAAGTCTTATAAACCTCTTTAAAACCATGATTAAACAAAACTTGTTACTTGGGTATCCCTTTGTATGTGTTTTGATGAAATTGTCCATGTATTTTCACTCCCCTAGTCGGTTTTATAGTATTTTCAACCCGATAATTTTGGATAAAGCCTTAGCAGTGAAGTTGATAATTGAGATTCATTTTTGAACTTAACTTTGATCTATTATAAAGGATAAGAATAACATCATAAGTGAATTTTTACTCAAACAAATCTAAAAAAATATACTGCATGACTTATGTACAAACAAATCGATAAATATAATTTCGAATTTAATATCAAAATCATAGCTAAATAGACAATTCAATTTTTTTAGCGTTCTGTGACTCGATGCCTTGATAAGTTGATGGTCCCTTAAATATTGAGTAAGGGTTAGTTGACTTCATGTTTTTTTTTATATATCTTTATTAAGGAGACTTTCAGCCCTGGGCTGGTTCGTCTCCGGTTTTTTTTTTTTATGGTCTCGATTTGCTGAGAATGTCGCCGACGGCTCCGCCCAGTTTATTCCACACCGTACCGAGCGGCTCCAGCGCCAGGTCCTGCTTGAAGAAGATGAACCCGACCAACAGGATGAGCACGATGGCCGACAGCGAGTTTTGGTTGAGATCACTTTCGGCGGTCCGCAGCTCCGGTCGGAAGTGCATCTCACTGAAGAAGCTACTGCTGTTGGCCGTGAACTCCACCATCGGGAGGGAGTATTTGTAGTTCTTATCGGACAGCGTGGAGGTCAGTTCGATGTAGTAGGTCTTGCTGTCGAAGGGAATCCGGGGGAAGAAGACCATAATGCCAGGGTTGATCTTGCTCTTGGGGTTCAAGGGGGATTCGATGCGTTGCGAGTGAACCGGCGAATCACTGCCCTTTTTGTAGAGGAAGATTTTGAGGGATTTGTAGTAATCCTTTTCGGAAGCCAAAACCCGGACGGTAACGTCGACGAATGCCAGTGGACTTATGGCGATCATGTTGATGTCGCGGACGTCTTTCTTCTCGACCTTGATGACCTTTTCCTTGGGGATCGAACGATCAACGTTAGACGAAGGTCCGTCGGTGCGAACGCGAACCCGGTACTGGCAGCCGGGTTGGAGGCCACGGATTCGGTAATGACCGTTGGGTTCTACTTCATGTTGTTTATCACTAGCATTCAAATAAAACTGACAAATTCTGACATTAAAATTCATTCGACGGTTAGTTTAATTTTTGGTTTTTCGATTAGTCCTGAACAAATGAATACTAAAAGCTAAAAAGCTTTGTCACAGCACATTCAAATCTGCCAAGGGCATAGTTAAATTAAATTTAAAAAAATAATAAATCTAAGAGTTAACGCAAAAAGTATATTTCAATCCATTTGCATTATTTTTTAGCAGGGATACGTTGAACACCTCTCAACCTCGGTAGAGGAGGTGGAATTACCACTTGATACCTTCCGAATCAAGCTGGGTCAACAGGCGCCATGGGGAAGTAAACTTCCACCTGACACAGTTCCTGTCGGCTACCTGCATAGGTTCGGACATGCAAGTACTCTCATCTGCCCCACGTGTGCTGGCGTCAAGGAGACCGCCGAACACGTTGTGTTCGCCTGTCCACGCTTCGAGCCAGTATCGAGCGCTATGCTAGCGATATGCGGAGCGGATACCAGTCCGGATAACATCGTTCTTAGGATGTGTGGTACCACCGAGAACTGGAGCGCGGTGGTGACTGCGGTCACCCACATAGTTTCGAAATTACAACGACAGTGGCGTGCCGAGCAGCAGTTGCCTACTGCCCGACTAGATCGATAGAGTATTGCTAGAGAGACGCCATAGCGCTACAGCGGCCCCTTCCACGAAATAATGCCTTCGGGCGGTTCCGAGGAGGTCAAGGGCCAAGCGCACAGGGTAAGGTTTAGTGGCTCGGGAGTGAAATTCTCCCATCCCCACACCCTGAGTTCCTTCTCAGGTGTCTGTGAGCAGATTCCCCACAGTATAAAAAAAAATAAACCTCGGTACTCAAATGCAATCATTCAGTAACAAATCACATCACCGATTTGTTAAATATGTTGGTTAAATTTTGCAATTTGAAAATTTAGTTAACTCCAAGATTGTATACAATCTATTGACGTCAGCAAGTATACTCATACCCAGGGCCCAACAAAGTAACATTCAATCGAAAATCGTCAAGCGACGACGAAGCTGTCAACCGTCACTTTCAATTGAAAGTCATTCTGTCTTCTCTTCAACATCAACAGAACCACTTTCGATCAGATTCATGCTGTTTTTGGCTTGATTCGTGTTCATTTTGTCCGACGCCATTTTGAAATCCTAGATTGTGACTTCCGATTTAAAAAAAAGTGGGAAATAATGTCAAAAACCCATCAATATGGGTATTTTTGGAATCAGGATGACGTTTTAACAAGCACTTTTAAGGTTGAAAATAGACTCTTTATTTTTCTTAATAACAAGTTACATGAAACTTAACTCTACACACAAATCTTAACTCCACGCGACATTTGGGAGGGAGGTGCTTGGAGTTACTTTTTAAATTTAGTTTAACCAATCAACTTCGATTTGGCTATTCGTTAAAAATGTGTTTTCAAGAAGCGTCACAAATACACGCAACTCGTACCTCTTGAGGTTGGTTATGTATATTGAATATTGATGAATAATCACAACATAGAATGTAAGTCAGGTGAGTATTGAACTGCCTGGTATACGTCGGGTAGTTATTTGAGCTGTTGTTTTCTCTGTTTCGTTTTCAAGTGGCAAAGCGCTAACGAATGTTATTGTACGTAGTGTTAAAATATGCGTTGGCAATTAAATGTAAAAAGAATGTTATGAATTTCGACGAAGTGGATGCACTTTAGGAACGGGCCACAAGTGTCCTCTTGAAAAACATGGGTTTCATGTAATTGGATATTCTGACCGAGATCAGTTCTATTGAACTTGTGAATGATATAGGTTAATTTGGATTTTCCAGATTCTTGTACATGTCTCATGTTCTTTGTGACTCTCTCTTAAATTTGATATTTAGTCCAACATCATTTTGAAATCCAAGATGGCGACTCTCTCTTGGATTTGATATTTAGTCCAGAGATCTAAATCGATATCCAACATCATTTTGAAATCCAAGATGGCAGCTTCCATTTTAAGAAAGGTGAAATGTTCTCCGGAAACATACGGCAACCATTTTGGATTACAAAATGGCGTCGAATTTCAATTTTCGGCATCAAAGCGGCGTCCTCGTTCCAAAAATACTCAATGGCCGCCTCTTGTATTCCAAGATGGCGTCGAATATTGATTTTCGGCATGTACAGGAACGACGGTTCCAAAAATATTCATATAGGGGAATTTACGTATTCTCGGTAACCTAAGCAGCTACCTTCTTTCTATAGCCTTTTTCTCTAAGGAACGCACTTATATGCAGTATTGGTTTGTTTACAATCTTTTGCTGCCAGCTGCTCTAACAATTTCATTCGAAAGAATCGTCAAAAACTGTTTTGAAACGCATTTAAAAACCTCCAATCTTCTCTAGTGAGAGCGAGTATTGTCGGCAACCAGTTTTTCTTCGGCAACCGTTCCATTTGAACTGCATGTAAATCTGCTGTTCTATTATCGGCAACTCGAAATCAGCTACAATTTGTAGTGCGTGTGTTGCATTTTAAGAAAACCTTGCTAGATTGCTTTTTCTCAGTGGTAAAAATATAGTCAAATTGAAGCTGAAAGCATAAAGAATCGTTTGCATGCATTCAGCGAAGTGTTTTCGTAAGAAAATCCAGTGAAAATAGTGTTTCAATTTGGGTTGCCGAAAATAGTCTGTCATGCCGAAGCCGTCATTTCCCCTATTAGATTGTTCTACACTTTTTTTTCTGAAAACCTCAGAATAGCCTCGTTAATTCAATTTTCGTTTAATACAAATTAACAATATATTACTAAATGTAATCCGGATGCCATCCTTATTGGCAACTAATATTGTGCGGATACTATCGCGTGACAAGTCGAATGAGCCCCGAATTGAAGTGAAAGTGGAAAAAATTAGAGAAGAAGTTTTTGGTCACTCATTGCGTTAGTTGAAATAAGTATTTGCTTCAAATGAAATGAAATAATGAAAGAACAAAACAAATACAAACAAGAAACACAACGACTTTTACGAAAATGATATTGCTCGAAATGAAGCGATTCTGCGGAGATATCATTTTATGTTCATTGTTTCGAAAATGCAGAGCCGTGCTTATACCTGAAAATACAGAATTAAAAAAGATGTTGAAGAAAGCATGAGCATGAGCATGATTGACCGCCCACTGTTGACGTGACACTCACTTTGATAAAGCCGAGAACACCTCTGCACTTCCACGAGGAATCACTGGGATATTGGGTAATAGGGCTGGGTTTGCAGTAGGGTTCGTTTTGGTAAACGATAAGCTGAATTGATGTCCTAACAATCATATAACGCGAAGGAGCTTGGGATTTAACCCAGTATGCAAAAACGTTTGCCACTAGGCAGGCGAGCTCCTTTTTTTTTATCATCGAGTTGCTGTTATTACCATGTAGCAATGTTAACAAATAAAACGATTGACGAATCTTGAATGTAGATGGGCTTGAGATTAGACTCATGATGTTCTGCTCAGTAAGCAAAACCGGTTGCTCTAAGGCCACCGAGCCCCTCATATCACATTATAGCGTTACTCAAGTTTTTATGACTATTCAGACCCGGCACCGACGACAACGAAAAGTTTTACGAAATTCACGATAAACAAGCGATCTAACCATACATTTTTAATATGAAAGGATCTGGGACCGCGTTTTTCTGCTCAGTAAGCAAGCCACTGCAACCGACGCACGGAGGGGTATTTGTTCTACGCTAGCTGGCCAAAAGTCGATTTCTCAAAATAAGCCAAAACAAATTCTGAATGCATGCATTATATACTTCAGAAGTAGGGTAACAATGCCCTGTACTCATTATTTCTCTTTCTAAACTGACCGCGTTGTGGCATCAGTTCAAACTTGCCTGTTGTTGAATCGTGTTGGTTTGTTAGAAAAAATCGTTCCGCAGTGTTATTGTTTTCGTGTCTCTACTTGTTGTTGGGATAATCACATTAATTTGCAAAAATGGATAGTGATCAAGCAGGTATTGAAATATTTATTCCACATGACATCAGCTTATTTCTATTAGTGTTGACTTCGTAGAAGCAGTTTATGAAAATCTTGTCTTTAAGTGTTATTTAAACTATAAAATAAATATATTGTGATAAAAAAGTTGGCTTATCCTGTAGTATCCTGTGAAGTCGTATATGAGGCATTATATGTACATGTGTATAGAAGATTATAGCAAAAATTTAGCTGCGATTATTTGCGATCTTTCGAGAAATTGGAAAATGAAGATGACGTGTAAATTTATCAAAAATGGACACAAATGCAGTTATCGACATTTTCATTCATTGTATGGCGGTAACCTAGACGGTCAAAGCCTTGTTTTGTGAGAGGGAGGGGCGGGGGGACGGGGGGGTCATGGGCTGCCTTTCAGGTATATTTTTAAGCAAGTTCTTTCTTGTTTCATATTTGCACCAGGTGCGCACGCGTTTGTGTGTGTGTGTGTGTGTGTGTGTGTGTGTGTGTGTGTGTGTGTGTGTGTGTGTGTGTGTGTGTGTGTGTGTGTGTGTGTGTGTGTGTGTGTGTGTGTGTGTGTGTGTGTGTGTGTGTGTGTGTGTGTGTGTGTGTGTGTGTGTGTTGTGTGTGTGAGTGTGTTTGTGTGTGTGAGTGTGTCTGTGTGTGCGTGTGTGTGTGTTTGTGTGTGTGTGAGTGTGTCTGTGTGTGCGTGTGTGTGTGTGTTTGTGTGTGTGTGAGTGTGTGTGTGTGTTTGTGTGTGTGTGTGTTTGTGTGTGTGTGTGTGTGTGTGTGTGTGTGTGTGTGTGTGTGTGTGTGTGTGTGTGTGTGTGTGTGTGTGTGTGTGTGTGTGTGTGTGTGTGTGTGTGTGTGTGTGTGTGTGTATGTGTGTGTGTGTGTGTGTCACAATTTTTGGCAACGTGCTTCTCAGCAACCACTGGATCGAATTGGATTCAACAAGAACCAGATAAAGGGTATTATGGTTCCTTCTTGTCACATGTTCAAGTGAATATGGTGCATGAGCCTAAAATAAACCAGAAATCATCCATTATAAAATAAAAATCAATATGTTCCAAGTTAATTATTTGCATCATTATCGTAGG